TGGCGCGTACACACAGGGCGACGCCATCGGCGGTGCCGACGGCGGACGGTGTCGCGGGAATGGGTAGTACATGGCACTGCGCCGCTCAAAGCAACGAGAGGGCAGACTGTCCGCAGCCGCTCGCTAGGGAGAAGGGCTGCTGCGGCGAAAGAATTCTCGCACGGTAGCACGAGGAAAGAATTCTCCTGGTCTCCGCACAGCAGACTGGCGCGAGAACAAGGGACCGGCATGCGGCGGCGGCGTCGCAGAACGAGGCAGAGGAGAGCGACGCGACAGAGGAAGAAGCGACAAGGGAGAGCACGACGAGAAGGGGGCGACCGCGAGGTGGCATGAAGGTCGCAGCGAGAATCGGCGAGAGACTGCGAAGAGAGATAGGAAGAGGCGGACGCCCAAGGGTGGGCGACGGCTAGCGCATCACACCCCTCTCCTTAAAATCCCTGTGTGGTGGCGGCGTGCCGTCCTCCCATCCGCATCCCTCCCTTGCGCCTTTGGTTGTCCGTTTTCTTTCTTTCTTTCTTTGGCACGAACTAGCACCACAAAAGGCACAGCGGCGGAAAGAAGAATTTTTTTTCGCTCGCACGGGACTGGCGCGCACTGGCACTAACACAGAAGAAGAATTGCAGAAGATTTTAGTTAGGAGGTACGGCACTCGTGCCGCTCGAGCTGGAGGTGGGCAACGACACTGAAATGGAGCTTGAGGCGACCATCACAGTTCTGACGGAGCGAGAATCCATCTCCTTGCCCGTCTCCGCGTCCATCGTCTCGGCCGAGTCCTTGGACGCTGCACGTGCCGCCCCGACCGACGCGCCGGCCCCACGGCTGCTTTCGACGACGTTGCGCGACCCCCGCCTGCTCAAATCGTACGCCCCGCGCCCTGGAGACAGGGACGCGGGCAGGTTGAAGGGCCTGGCGCCCGAGCGGCCTGAGGGTGGCGAAGTGGCGGGCGGAGGGGAGGATGAAGACAGTGACTGAGTGTGCAGCTCGAGGCCGGGGCGTGGGGGGGCATTGACTTCCATCTGAATAAGACGAACAAAGGAAGGTACGTGTGGTAAAGAAAAACCGTTCGGCTCCCTCGCCCCCTCTCGAGTGTCGAGAGCGGAGAGAGTCACACCCAGATTCGTCCGCAGAGAATATACACAAGCTAGCGGGTCGGCGCAGTGCGCCTGATACACCGCCAAGCACGGCTCGTATTCCGCAATCCGCGTCCGCAACCTGCTAGCGCCTAGCTGGGGGAGGGGGGGGGGGCAAGAACCGGCGGGGCTTCTTTCTTTTGGTGTTTGTCTTTTTCCTGTTTTAAACACAAGAGTCACACCCCCGGACCCACGACGCACTCCAGAATGAGGCAGCTACCTTTGCGCCCCCTTAGGGGCACTCCCTCCTGCGCTGCGCGTATGGTCACCCCTCCCTTCCGCCCTGTTGTTTTGGATGCCCCGCTCCGAGTCTCTGGCATGTCTTGGGTACGATGCACTAGCCCCAGCCGTCGGGGGGGTGTTGCCGGCGCTGGTAGATGATCTCTCGGAGAAGAGCCGGAGGGACCTTGGCGCCGGGGTCACGAGGAACTTGCAAGTCGTGGCCGAGGCGGCGACGGGCGCGGTGCAGAGGTGGATCCAGCTCAATGATGAGGCTACGGCGCGCATAATGAAGAGAGAGGAACACATCGAGTGGCTGAGGAAGCTCTTCACTGGGTGGAAAGAGGCTCGGCCGGCCTTGAGGGAGAGGCAGAGGAGGAGGGATAACGGAGGTAACGTGCAGACAGGCCAGCAGCCAGTGGGACGAACGAGGGCCGCGACGGCGGCTCAAGCGGGAGGGAGCGGAGACGGTGGGCAGAGAGCGAAGTGGGTGAGACTGATGATGCTCCTTCGACTTAGGGAGCGGTTCAGATGCTGGGCGGGCTTCAGGCTGGTGCTCACGCGAAAAGGAATCGACGCGATGTGCAAAGCATACAAGAAGGGGAGAAGGAAGAGGAGAGACGCTGGTGTGGATGAAGCAGAAACTAGCGCAGACGAGAGCAGGGCAGACCCGGGGACTGGGGAGCCGGAGCAGACGGCATCGGCCGCCGAGGGAACGTTGGGAAGAGGCACGAGGAGGGCGGCGACCTCGACCGACTATGGAGGACCCGTCGCCAGACGACGCAGGGCAGAAGACGGTGAGGCGGAGCAGACGCGCAGGGCGAGACGAGGGAGGGAGCAGGACTTTGCGGAGATCAGCAGGAGGATGTACGAAGAGATTAGGAGCAGCAGGGACCCGAGGGACCATGTGGAAGACGGCTAGTGCTAGTCCCCCATCGGCGGGGAGGACGACCCCGGCTCTAGTCGCCGACCACACCCACAAAGAACCCTGCACAAAGATCGCAAGGGCGGGGACCTGTTCCTTTTTACCCATCTCACAGTAGAGAGGTGTCCGTTTTTATTTATTTATTTATTTCTGGCATGTCTTGCGAGAATAAAACTTCTGAGAATTTGAGGCATTTTATTTTTCTTTCTTTTTGGTTTTTCTATTTTCATTTCGTTTGCACTAGCGACTAGGCACGAGACTGGGAAAGACTGGCGCACACGAACAAAACCAAGCGGCCCAGACTAGGGTGTGGCACTAACACTCTCCGACTCTGAAAAAAGAAAACGACCACCATCTGTTTAAGAAGCACGGACTACTACACTCACTCACTTCTCACTGTGTGACTGTCTCCGTGGTGGTGGTCCCGCGTCAGCCACGCTCACGGCGACGACCGCGTCGTTGCGGAGGCCCCACGCGTGCAGGTCCGCCTCCTCCCGCGGCAGCACCGCGCCGGCGGCTAGGGCACCGCTGCCCTTCTTGAGGGTGAGGAGGACTCGGCCACGCTCCTTGCACTTGAGGCGCAGCTTGCGCACGGCCACCTCCGATATCGCCGCATGAGTCGGCGCCACGAGCACGACCGTGTCGACGTCGCACTTTCTGCACTTGGAGGGCAGCACGCCGTGCGCCCCCACGAGGCTCAGCCGAAGGAGGGGCGCAGCAGGTGCCGCGGCAGCAGATGTATCTGGAGCAGGAGCCGCTGGAGCGGGACAACCGGCGCTATGCGCTCCCACCCGCGCCGCTGCGAGGCGCAGCGCCGTGGCGAGAGGCGGCGCCGCTCGTGTCCGGGCGGGCTCTTCGACTCGCTCGAGGAGGCGGCAAAGCGAGGAGAAGAGGTGCGCCGCCCTCGCGTCCGACAGCGCGCGGACCAGCCTGCCATCCGCACCGCCGCCGAGCGCGAGCAGCTTCCGGGCGAGACCGCTCTCCGTGTTGAGCGTGTGTACGTGTCGCGCAACGCCGCCGTCCGCCTCTTTTGCGTAGGTGAGGAGGCCGCCGCCGCCACGGAGGCGCACGCACTGCACCTCGTCGTCACGCGGGCCCGCCTCGCGGCATGTGACAACGTGGCCCGCTGCAGTCACTCCCACTGACTCGCAGAGCTCTCGCAGCGCCAGCGCCGACCACTCCACGTTCCGGCTCACGTAGCGACCGTCGCATTGCTTTAGCGGCCGCCAAGTTCCGAGCATCCAGAGCCGCTGCAGCTCACGACCGCCGTCGCCGGGGTAGGCGCCATCGCCGGCGAAGGCAAAGCGAGACATCTTGCGTGAATGGGTAATGCGAGTTATCTTGTGTGGCTCCACCGAGTCTGCAGCGCGCCTCCGTCTTCAACGCCAACGCGGCTAAGAGCTCCGCACGCCTTCACCGTTTGCGCGGCTTTCGCTTTTTTCTGCTTGCTGCCCGAGCTGCACCACCTTGCTGTCCACGATCGTGTGTGGCGCCTCTCGACCTCTCCTCCTTCCTCTTCCTCCGCGTCTGCATGGCGCACGCTTCTAGTTTGTCGGCGCCTCTACGGCCTCACCACGGCTCGCGCGGCAAAACGAATGCATGCAACCAAGAAGAAGAGAGAGAAGCCTCTTCGCAGGCCCCCCCGACCGCGTCGAACTCATCGGCGCGGGCTCTCTCGGCTACGGGACCGGCCCCAGCTTCGGCTGAGGGCTAACAAGCTGCCGAGCCCAAATCACTGTGAGAGTCGTGATTTCTTGTTGGTCTTTAAAAATCTCTCTCTGCAACCATGCGCGCGCAGAGGGTGGTCAGGAGGAGGGCGCGAGCGGCGTGCGCGCGGGCGTGGCCGGCAGCGTGGCGACAGCACTGGCGGCTGCTGGCTCGGCGGGCTTCCAAGGCCGGCGCTCCTTGGACCTTGCGGGCGCCGGTGGGCACCGCGGCGGCACACCCTTCCGCCACTTGGCCTGCATATACTTTTCCGGCAAACAAAAAGGAAAACAGAGCTCAGAGTGTCCCCAGCACTTTGCGTTTCCGGAAATTTCCAGGGAAAACAGAGGGTGTTTGGTGCTCCATTCTGGAAACTCGCGAGTTTCCCTGAGTCTGAGAGCTGGTCTGGGGCAAAATCTGAGGCAAAATTGAGGAAATCGGCACGATACCCAGGCGGCCGCAGGGTATTTTTCAGGTATGCCGGGGTTTTCCAGGTATACCCGCAAAATACCCGGTATTTCGCAGATTTGGCTGATTTTGGGCCGGCCCCAAACGAGCCTCAGACTCGGGTCTCGGCTCAGAGCCCGGAAATTTTGATGGTTTCCCCGGGAAAATAGAGAGGAAAAGAGAGGGTGCTGTAGAAAAAAAGAAAGAAAACAGACGGGGTGCGAGAGGAAAAGTATATTCAGCCTAATCCGCCACATCTTTGTGGCACCCCACCCTCTCGCGCTTTCTTAAGCGCCTGAGCTCCTCCCGAGGCTGAGCTCATCCCTGCATCTCTCTCTCTGCATCTCTGCAGAATGTCCCTTGTAACGTGAGAGAGTGCGTTGTGTTCGTTTCGTATCTTGGAGCACTTGGAGTGCAGTCGGTAACCTCACATCCAGGGCCGAGGAGCTAAGAAGCGCACCCAGCGGGCCGGATGATCGGTATCGGGCTACGGGCTAGAGAGCCCTGACACCTAGGCGAGCCCTCGTTTTTCTTTTTTGGGCTGGGCGGCAGCCGTGGGCGGCAGCCGGTTGAGTATGCAGCAGTCGCGATCCCGCCAAGTCTCGAGCCTGTGTTTGTCGCTGCGTTTGTCGCTGCACTCGGCGCTCTCCTACGCATTTGCGATCGCGGCCGTGAGCCGGCTTTGCGTGGGCTGCCTGACCGGCAGGCCTCCCTCGAGGACTGCACGGCTAGGGCTTGGCGTTCTCACGGCTAGCGTGCCGCTGACTGCGTTGCCTCAGTCGCTGCGGGCGCCCCTGCGGTGGCGGGGCGTCTTCATCACGTCGCTGTTCACTGCTCTATTCGTGTCCACCGCCCTCGCCACGCTCGATGACGAGGGCCGCTTCACGGGCCGATGGGTTTACATTGCCTGGGCAGCCTCGGCGCTGCAGTTCGGGCACCGCTGCGCACGGTACCACTTGGAGGTGGAAGATGCGGAGCGGTGTGCCGAGCGCGAGGCATTCTTTTCGATGTGCTCCTTCAGCCTCGGCCGAGGCATCAAGCTGCCGTGCACGATCCTGAACCAGGCCTTCATGGTCCTCATCGGCGGCTGGCTCGAGAGCGCCGCCGGCCCCGACCTGCTCGTGGCGCTCGCGCTCTCCGACTTTCTGTGCGTCTTCCAGCTTTTTCTCGCGCGGCAGCGCCGCTTCCCGGCGAGCCTCTTCCTGGAGGGGGCGACGCTCATCTCGAGCACACCCGCGTCGCTGGTCTTCGCCGCGCACGGCCGCATCGCCGAGTCTGCGGTCCTGTGCGGTGGCCTGGCGGCGTGGCTGGTGGTGGGCAGGTTGTGCATGTGATTTGTGCACGCGCGTGTGACGATTTCTCTCTCAGCAAAAAAGGTTCGCGCAGCTCCCGCAGAAGGCAGATCCCCCCTCCGGCTGCGGCTCCGCGCACGCACATACGCGCACACGCACACGCGCCGCGCGCGCGCTCTTTTTTCTGGGGGCGTTCTAACTCCCGCTCGAACGTCGATGATGTGTACGTACCCCATGACTCTTCATACTTCGATCCCGCCAATACGCGGCTCTAAAGCCAACTCGTAAACAGAGGAACTACAGCTGCCGAAACTCCTGCCGGAGCTCTTGGACCCTATCCCAGACCAGCCGGCCCAATTTGCCCTCGGCGCCCCTCGCGAGCCGAGGCGCGAGCGGCCCGAGGAGGTTCAGCAAGGACGTCTCCTCCTCCGAGTCCTCTTTTGGCTGTCGCTCGAAACTGAGGCCCACCTCGTACGCGTCCTCGTCGTCCTCGTCGGCCGTGAGGTCGTCCAGCCGCAGCCCGCCGCGAAAGGGCGCGGAGCCGTCCGACAGCCTCGCCGCCCACTCGAGCTCCACCTAAACACGGAAAGGGGTCCGTCGACAGAAAAGTGTGACGGCTTGTTCGCGAGCTCTCGAGCTCCACCTACAAGCATAAAGGTGCCATCGGAAAAACGAAATGGCGGACGAGGCGGAAGCGCGTTAGCTCCGCCGTCAGGTCGAAATGGTGCACCCGTCTGGGCCGCGGCCGCGGGCACACGCGTACGTACGCCTCCCCTCGCACGCTGCGGACCGCGACGATGGCGAGGACCGCACCTAATCTCGGCGAACGTCGGCGAGACTCCGCGGCTCTCGGCGGGCCTCTCGGTGGATCTCGGCGGGTCTCGCGGTCTCGCGGCACCGTCCTCGTCGGCGCACGCGGTGTTCACGAGCCGCGTCTCGAGCCACGAGCGCACCCAGCTGAAGCGCTGCTCGCGCTGCTCGCCGCCGACAGAGCCGAGCGAGCTCACCGGTGGCAATGATGCTGCTGCTGCGGCGGTGCCTGCTGTGGCTGCAGCTGCGGCTGCGGCTGCGGCTGTGGCTGCTGCTGCGGCTGCGGCGTATCCCGTCGCTGCCGCTTCGACTGCTGCTCCTCCTGCTTCCGAGCCGCCGGCAGAGCCGAGCGAAGTTGCTGCGCCTTCAGCGCCGCCTGGTGCTCGCGCCGGCCGGCTCGCAGCGCTCGGCTCCGCCTTTACCAAACCGCGTCTCTGGCAGCCCGGGCGGGCTCCAACCGAGCGAAGCCTCGCTGCTTGCGCGCCGCCCTCGCCGCTGCCGCCATCGTCGCCGCTGCCGTCTCCGCTGCCGTCGCTACCGTTGTCGCCGTCGCCGCCGCGAGCGCGGCGCTGGAGAGTGCGCATCAGGACGTCGACCTGCTTGTCCCCCGGCAGGAGCATGTCTGCGGCGAGCAGGTCGTCTCGTGCGTCGCACATCCGACCGAGACGCACCAGAGCAACGGCGCGGCGGTAGTGCGCCTTTGCGCTTGCAGCGCCGCCGAGGGCGAGGGCGAGGGCCTAATCTCGGGTAATCTCGGGTGATCTCGGGTGATCTCGGGTGATCTCCCCGACGAGGGCGGAGGGCGAGGGCCGAGGTGCACGCGCCGACGGCCTCCTCCCACTCCGCCTGCTCGATCCTGGCCGCAGCCAAGTTGTTGAGGCACGCGCCGCGTAGCTACGAACGGCAGCCTCGGTCGGTCGGTCAGCGAGCTACATCTCTACATCTCTACATCTCGGCCGCATCTCGGCCGCATCTCGGCTGCATCTCGGTTGTATCTCAGCGCACCTCGTCCAGCAGGCGGCAAGCGCCGCCGTTGAGCCACCAGCCGTCGGATCGGATGCTGGCGGCGCGGCGCGCGCCCGCCGTGTACTGCTGCGCTGCGAGGTCGAGCTTGCGCAGCCTGAGAGCGGTCGTGCCCGCCTGCTTGAGCGACGTGGCCTCGCCAACGGCCCGCACAAACGGCGCCCGGCCTCGCCGGACGTAGGCGAGGACGGCAAGGTTGGCCAGCGCGAGCGAAGTCGCCTCGCGCCACCCGTAGCCGGATGACGCCCCAGCCGCCGCCGTCGCCGCCGCCACCTCCGCCTCCGCCGCCTTCGCGCGCGCCGCTGCCAGAATGCTCTCAGCCAGCAGCCGCGAGCCGACGACGAGGGCGACGGCGACGGCCCAGCCGAGCAGCCAGATCCAAGGGAAGGGCCACAGCCATGCGAGGGCGGCGAGCCGCGGACGCCGCAAGTGCTTGCGCGCAGTGGACACGGCTGCTCGCCGCGCCGCGCCGCTGCGCACCGCGGCCGCTGCGGCGGGGGCAGCAAGAGGAGTGGGCGAGAGGAGAGGAGTGGGCGAGAGGAGAGGAGTGGGTGAGAGGAGAGGAGTGGGCGAGAGGAGAGGAGTGGGCGAGAGGAGAGGAGTGGGCGAAAGGAGAGGAGTGGGCGAGAGGAGAGGAGTGGGCGAGAGGAGAGGAGTGGGCGAGAGGAGGGGTGTAGAGAGGGGAGCGCTGTGGAGGAGCCTGCGCCGCGTGCGAGCCGCACGCTCTGGGCGGCGACAGGCTCACGGTGTTTCACCACGACGACCGAAGCAGCGTCGAGGCCCATCGCCTTCCAGTCGACTGCCCGGCCGGCACGCACCTGGCGGGGCGTGTCAGCGGGGCGTGTGTCAGTGGGGCGTGTCGTGGACGTGTGTCGTGGACGTGACGTGTCGCGTGAGTGTGTGGCGTGGATGTATCGAGTGCACTGCGCACATCGCCGTCAATCTTGCGCCAGAGGTCGTGGCGCAGGTACGGCTCGAGCCGCCGGCTGGCGGCCGGCCACCACGGCCGGTCGGCGGCACCGGCACCGGTCGGCGCGTCGCACACCGCTGCAGGCACAGCCCACGCGCCGCGGATGTCGGCGACGCGAAGGCCTCGCTCTGCAAGTACTCGGCCCGTGCTCGGCAGCGCGTCTGATACGGCGCCGAGCACGCAGAACGAGCACCTGGCGTCGGAGAGAAAGGCTCCGGCGCGAACGATGGCCTTGGAGACGGCCTGTGCCACCTCCTCCACCTCCTCCGTCGGGTCGGACGGCCAGAACGGGTCAGACGAGCCACCGCGACTGCCGCTCGCCGACATGCTCGCAACCATTACGGACCCAAGGCGAGGCAACCCGCCACAGGAAAAAGCTAGCCGCCTTACACAAGAAAATTCCGGGACCGCTCGCTGGGTGGGGTTCTTAGCTTTCCGGCCCTGGATGTGATGAGGTTGATGACCGAAGTGATCTGTGATCTGACATCTGTAAGGGTTCGCCCGCAGGCGCATGTTGTATACAACCAGGGCGAGGCGGTGCGGCCCGGTGCCGAACCTGTCGGACCTTAAGACAGCTTTGTAGACCCCTGGGCGAGGGTGGTGGAGGGGGGGGGTCCGGCGGCGGAGCAACCGGTGGATCCGGGAGGCTCGAGCCGGGAGGCAAAGAGGCACAGGATCGGTCATATCCCCGCCCCCGTGAGAATCCGTGAGTCAGACCGCCCCGTCCTATACTATCGATGCCCGCTGCGAGTCGTCGGGCGGCTCCGCGTGAGGAACTAACGCCCGCCCGCGGCCTCGTCCGCGAGGCGGGAGATCATCCCGCTCGAGTACTCCGGGTGAAGATCGACCACATTTCCCGTCATCATGAGCGACGCGTCACTCAGGAGGAAGCAGACCGTCGCCGCGACATCCGCCGGCCGGAGGATGCGGCCCAGCGGCTGAGAGGCGTCCGCCTGCTGCAGCCAGTCATCGCCCTTGACGCTGCGCTGCAGGGCGTCCTCGTTGTCCGTCGCGCACCAGCCCATTTCGACGCAGTTTACCCGGATGCCGTGCGGTGCGAGCTCCGCCGCGTTGTTGCGCGTGAGTGCGGACGCGGCCGCCTTGGAGACCGAGTATGCCATCAGGAACGGCGCGCCGCCCTTGCCCGCCACCGACGAGATGTTGACGATGGAGCCGCGGATGCCTTTTTCAATCATGTGCCGCGTCGCAGCCTGCGTGATGAGGAATGGTGCTCGCGCGTTGCACGCCATCATCGCGTCCCAGTCCTCGGCGGTCGTCGAGGCCAGGTTGCCACGAGCTGTCGTCGCTGCAGCATTCACCACTCCGTCGATGGCCCCCATCGCGGCGAGCGCCAAAGCCACCGCCTTGCCAGGACCGGTGGCGTCGGAGAGGTCCGCCTCGACGAAAAACGCTTCAAAGGGCTCTTGCACTCCAGCGGCAGCTTGAAGCCGCTCGACCGCCTTTGTGCCCCTCTCGGCGTTGCGGGCGATGACTGCCACCTTGGCGGCGCCGCAGGCCTTCAGCTGGGTCGCAATCTCGAAGCCGAGGCCTTGTGTCCCGCCAGTGATGAGGTAGTTGCGACCTCTAGCGGATAGAGTCGGTGAGGAGAGCGGCTGCGTGATCGCGACCATGGCCAGTGCTGCGCCTGTCTGCGCTCCTCGCTGCTCGGTGTGAAAGGAACAAGGCTGTGAACAGAGTACAACGTGCTCCACAACCCGAGGTCCCCCGAAAGAGTTCACGGAGTCGTCTGGGGCTATCCAGCAGTGGCTGGATTTGATGAGTGTCTGTTCACACCGAGCGGCGAGGAGCGGATGCGGCTCGCCTTCGAAAAGTCGGGCATGGCTCTACCCGCCCGCAACTTTCTCGCTAACTATTAAACACGCGCGCACCGCCGAGCCTGCGGCGGGCGCGCTGCGGCCGCACGTCTAACTCCGTCATAGTGCCACGACGTGCGGCCTAGAATTAGCACACGCGCCTCTGCTCGCAAACACTCACCCAATGAATTGTCATCACCCGTGCGTGAATGCGAGATAGGGCTAGCGGTAGGCAGCTAGCCTGTGAGGAGAGCGTCCATAGACACCTCACATGACCCCACACACGGTCTCGTCCATGCCTTGCGGCTGGCGGCGAGATTGCTAGAGGCGGAGCAAGCCTGCTCTAGGCTCACATGTTACTTCCTGTCGTCTGTTGTGTCGCGTTGTGCCCTTGTTTGTTCCTTTGGCACCTTGGAGTGCTGGGG